TTGGTACTGGTTTCGAGTTCTTTTTGTTTGAGAAGCTGAGGTCGTGTTTTGTCTCAACTATGTAGTTCTTCATGACTTCGTCGATTGCGTCGTCTAGATCGGATGAAGTTGGCAATTTGCCGTTCATGAGTTTAGGGAACGTGGAGTGTAGAACGGAGATGACTTTTTCCAGGTTCTCACGGGTAGAGGCCATGACGTTTAAGTCGATTACTTCATCAAAGCCGTAATCAGGGTCAGATTCTATGTTTACGGCTTCGAATCGATTCAAGAAGCCTTCCATAATCGCAATTACGGAGTCCCGGCCTTTGCTGTTGGCCTGGATGGTCTGATGGTTATCGCCTCGTTCAAGAACTCTTGCCTGAGTAACTTGCCTGATATCACCCAGCAACATTTCCTTAGGTTCATGGACATAATGGAGAGCAACAAATTTAGCATTTGGTACAGCCCTCTGAACATCCTCCATGATCTGCTTTCTTTCCCGCTTTTGGTGGTTGTTGCGGTCTGCGATGACAACCCTATGCGTTACGAGGGAATTGTTTACCTCCTGTGCAAATCGCTTTGGGCGGTTCTTGGGACCCTGAATATTATCATTCTGGATATGTCCCCAGCCAAATAATTTGACAAGAGCAAGAGCTAGAGTGGTTTTACCACACCCGATTGAGGCGACTGGGACTAAGACGACATCCTGTGTCACATTAGCAAGAGATGCAGCACCTGCTCCCTGTTCTGATTCCATAGCAATAATTTCTGAGCCCTTCAGACCTCGCTCTTTCAGGAAGCCATCTCTCATTGCTATGATACCATGGTTTTGATTGTAGAGTTTGGCAAGCTGTGGGTTTTCGACGAGCCGCTTCTTTGCATAGTGCAGATATTCTTCCGTAATGGCTACATGCTTCTTGAGTTTTAACCGTCGTCCCGCAATCATGGCTTTGGTAGCTTCACGCCACTGCCGGTACATGAGATATGGTTCTTCGAACTTGTATTTAAAGAACCAGTCCCTGTACGGTCCAGCACCCCCTTCAGATATTTGACACCGGATAACGAATCCTTCAGTGTCCCTCCCATCCCACGATCCAGTCTCAGCACATTTCTCCACAAAGGTCTTCACATCAGATAGGGAATTCTTCATAAGATACTGCGCCTTTTTGAACCCCCATTCGTCTGCAAATTTGTGAACATCGGGGCCAGGTAGGGTAGCAAATTGGGGAACATTGTAGTTGAGGCCATGGAGATAAATGCCTGCTGCCTGCTCATCGTACGCCAGAACATGTTCCTCAAAACGGTCATCACAAAGTTCTCCGACAGCTGTTAAATTCTGGCTTCTCAGGGCCTTGGCTAAATCCCCCACTGTCTTGCCAACAGAGGCTACGTGGTGCTTCACCCAGTTTTCCCCGGCAACAGCGTGGCTCACAGTAACATCAGTTCTAGCGCCAGTCGAGTGTTTGCTGCATACTAGCAAGGTGCCATCCTCCAATCCAGAAATAAAAATAATACAGCCATTTTCCTTGACACTCAGCTCATATGGCCCTATTGTATTTGTTTCAATATTCCTCCACCGTGTCGAGTCAACCTCGTCAACATTAAAAAACTTATCGTACCCTCGAATGGCGATTTCATAATTGTTGTTCTTATTCCTGGTGGTAAATAGGCCGCGTGCATAGGTAGGCAAATCATCCCGCTTGTAATCCCAATCCTGGAACCTCCAAGAGTCCACGCTGATGTTACCTGATCCTTGAACGAGAAAGGTAGACTTCTTGCAGGAAAACGTCCGTCTTCCTGGACCACTTCCTCCACCTCTTCTCCTGCTGCTGCCGCTGGCAGCCTCTAAGCCATGAACGAGCTGGGCAACCTCGTCGATGTCTTGCTGCACCATGTTTTGAATGTATGAAAAGGAGAACTCTGTAGATAATGAACAAAGATCAGGGGGAGACGGTGGAGGCGGCGGAGGCGGCGGCGGCGCCCCTTAGATCTTTAAGCCCAAAGGACAAGCGCAAGTGGCTATAGGGAACTGCCACTCCGGTTACATGGAAGGAGTCTATAAAACTATTTATTTGAAACTATCCGACCTAAAGATCATGACTCACGATTTCCGAGTTGGTGTTGGAGTAGGTTGTTCGAGTCTGTGTTTGTGATGTTGTCGTTGTTGCCGCCATGAATGGACCAATGATTGGTTGTTTAAACCCCTGGGTAACAAGGTGAAACTAACCGCCTAAACTCAATCTGGCAAAGCATCTGTATATTTTGTGTCTTTTTTTTCTTTCTCTTTTTTTTGGCCTGCAAAACCACTCTTCAATTCATGGGTTTGTTACTCACATTTGTACAAGAATTCTCCAGTATATGTTTACTCCTTTAGCTCCTGTTAATTCCAACCCATTGCTCACTAATAAATCCATATTTTTTTCTATCTTTGAAACGATAACGATATTAACTCATTTGTTGCGCATCATGTCCCCCGCCCAACCCAACGTCTTCATTCTGGCCGCGGACAACTCACCCTCACTCCTCCCGCTTCTCCGGTCAAACCCCACCCTAGCTTCTTCTCAAGATGAACATGGATATTCCCTCCTTCATGCTGCTGTCTCATACGGGCATCTTGACCTGCTCCGTGCCCTCGTTAAAGAATTTCAGGTTGACATCAATCTTGTCGACGAGGACGGAGAAACCTGCCTTTTCGTTGCGGAATCTGTTGAAGTAGCCCGCTGCCTAATTGAGGAACTTGGTGTGGATAGAGATCACAAAAACCATATTGGCGTAAAAGCTGAGGAGTCCATAGCCAGTGATGGGGATTTCCCATCCCTGATTCAATACCTAAAGGGCAGCCAGGCCGTAAATGATGCGTCCCAGATTCTAAATCCATCAACTGCGATTCCACCAAATGTCAATGTTAATATTGGAAGCATGCCTGACCCAGCTGCAAACGGAGACGAGTTGGTGGATCCAGAATTCAGAAGGAGAATTGAGGAGCTTGCTACTAGTGAAAACTTCCACACCGAGGAGGGGCAACAGGAACTACGGCAGCTGGTTACAGATGCGCTAAGGGGGGTGAATGCAGAAACACAAGAAAGAGATGTTAGACGACGGACGGACTAAACGGATGGCTTTACGAGACACAAACTCGGAGCATGTACGGGATTTCTCAATACCTATCCCAGTGTGTAAATAATACGGTGCGTTCCACTGTGAGGATGGCGATTTACCTCGCAAAAAGCCGAACACTTCCTCTGAGAGGGAAGGTTATGGCCAGGCCAACAATAGAGGATACATTAGGCCCGAAAGATAATCTTTTTCGGTATTCTATTGTTCCTACACAGGGAGCTCCATGACAGATTTCCCGCTGTTAATGTCGTTGGCAACTCGCGGTCAGGAGCTCGTGATAGGGGTTAGAAGACGATCATATCCTGAATTAATGCAGGATGAAACACGATTAGCAACGATATCCTCGTATTTTCGAGATGAGAAGAGGAAATATCCCTGTGATGCTTATTCCACGATTGGAGTATTATGGCTGAGCGACTGAGGGAGCAGGGAAGAGAAACTTCAGAATTTGAGTGCAAATTCTTGTATTTAGTGCATGCTCGCAGTCTATTAAAAGTGAAGGCCTTGCACAATGCTAGCTATATAGCTCACAGTCATAGCAATTAAATGATAAAAAAAGACGGTGAACCATTTGATAATTTCTGTGGATATTCATACCTTGTAACTAAACAGTTAACGTTAGTTGCTCGACTTGATCAGGTGACATCATTCCAATTCATTCAATCGCCTCACGGAAATCAACATCAACTCCGCAACATCCACTGAATCTTCTGTAAGGTGTTAATCCTCCCGCTCAAACCCCGGTCTTGTTCTGCCACGAATTCAGGATGTCTTTACCACCCGTATCGTATTCACCGCTCTCCTCATCATACCCAGGGAACCCCAAAAACTCCAACTCGTACCTTGACACCGAAACTCCGCCCCCTCCGCCGCCGAAACCTAGCAGTCATGAAACGAGTCGAATAAACACACCTCAGACAGGCTCTCCTCTACCCCTCCCTCCTCTGCCGTCCGGCTCTATACCTCAAGAATCCAATTTATCTATTACGAATGCGCAAGGCCAAACAAGTCCGCAGGGAGATCCACCGTTGACTTGCCCTGCCGATTCCTTACCAGACGACGCATTCTCGCCGACCACCCTTCCGCAACCCCCAGACATAGATGACGGCTGGATCCCAGAGAGTTTGAAAGACAAATCGTGCGCTGTCCCCACATCCGATAACCCCCCATTCACACCTCCATTCCACAACTAACCGAAAACCAAATTCACAACCCACAGAACGACAGACCTCCACGCCATCCTCGAAAACTCCACCCTCCTCCAAGCCCTCTCAACCACCCACGTCTCCTACCCAGCCACCCAAGCTCACCTCACCACCGTCCTAGCTTCCAACAAACAGCTAGCAAACCACCTCCTCTCCCTCGAAAGCCACTTGCACTCCCTGCGCGACTCCACAGAATCTCTCCTCCTCCAGCACCAATCTCTTGAACTCTCGTGGCGCAAGAAGCAGAGCGAGATGGACACCGCGCTGGAGCCTTGGTCTCCCAAAGCCCTGTACCAGCGGCTTGTGGCGGGTATTACGGAGCAGGAGGCAGTGTGTCGTGCGGTTGAGGAGAGCTTTTTAGAGAGTGAGGGTGATAGCGAGGGGAAGGCGAGTGAGAGGGAAGTTATGGAGTGGGTTCGGAAGGTGAGGGGGGAAGGGGCTAAGTTGGAAAGTAGGAGGGAGATGAGGGCACGGTGGGACGAGGGGAGGGTGGGAGGGTGGAGGTAAATTTGAGCTTTTTATTTTGGTGTGGTCCTGGTTGTTGATGGGGTGTTTATATATTTCTCTATCTCATGGCTTGGGGGGGTTCCGCCCGCTCTTTATTTCCATTTTGAGAAAGGAATGTCATATTATACGCTGGCTTGGTGTTGGTTCTTGTTCTGAATATTTTTGGGAGTTAGTTGGGAATTAGTGGGAACTTGAATCACTTTTTGATATCCCAACCCCCAGCGCGGTTTTTTATAGATATGATACCGTTTTAAGTTTATGGAGATAAGAGACATAAATCCTTGTTTCTTCACATTTCTCAACGTAAACCGGAAGAGAGAGAACAGATTGGCTCTGGAAATAGAGAAACCGAGATAGATATATATCAATCATAAGGTATAAATCAACCACAAAAGGTATATAGAAGTCATAAAACTCTTATCTATCAATGGAGCGTAATTAAGCATGAATAGACAGCCGAAAACGCCGTCATTCTTTTCCGAGCCACCAGCAGGAAATCAACGGTATAAAGGCGAAAACGAGAACAAACAATCCGCCCTCATACCTTCCTTTCCTCAAACATCACTCTCCGCCCTATGGACCAATTCATTTGCACTATCCGTTTGCAGAGGAAACACACTACCCGCTTTCTCGATCTCACCCCCGGCATACCCATTAACCCCGATCCCCACATAGAACGCGCGCTCGGGACTGCGTGCGCTCCAAGCCCATCCCCCCGCGCCCGAACTTAACGGCAGATGATACCAGCGGAACCCCAACCAGGCGAAAGAAATCCCCAGCAGGGCGCCAAAGAGGATATCGAAGCCGAAATGGCGGTTGTCGAACCAGCGACTGGATGATATATATGCAGCGGCAACGATGGGTGCCGCGGCGACGAGGAGAAGGTAGATTGGCGGGGCTGCGGATTGGTCTCGGAGTGGGGTAGGGGAGGATTTATTCTTTAGGTTGACAGGATGGGAGGACCTGGGGTATAGGGCGTCGGAGCAGGGTGGGTGTGTGATATAGTTGCTGCCGACTGAGAAGGCGGTTTCCCGGATATCCTGGGTGTAGGGACGTGGGGAAAGGTAGGGGATTGAAATGGAGAGTTTTGCACAGAGCCAGAGGGTTAGGTATGTTAGGCCGGCAAAGGAGACTATGTGAGAGGTGGTTTACTGTCAGCATGGCTGCATATTTTGGATATAGCGGGGAAGGATTGTAGACAGGGGAATTCTGGACATACTGGAAGCATGCCCACTAGGGAAGCTCAAGAAACCCTCTCTGGTGAGTCTTGTCGTTTTATTCTGGCAGATATTATATGAAACTAGAAGCGGTGCGCCCCTGAGTCTTCTCCCCAGCCCTCCAACTATATTGACTGCAATTTTGGGTATATCGGGGTTGCAGCGATTGATCAGATCGGGTCTAGGTTTCCCACAGATAACCTTCAGTGCTTCTGTAGCCGCATACGCCCCTCCGATTGCAAGACCCAACCCCATCCATCCAGCATTCCACTCCCATAGTTTGCGCCGCCATACTAATGAGGCGGGCACATGCTTTCCCGCTGTGAGCCCGGGGACAATAAGAAGGCTCAGTAGAAGAATGGTAATTGCGGGAACAAAAACGCTAATCAGGACCAGCACACTGGAAGAAACGGCTTCCTTGGCGATATATGGGTAGGATATGCTCGGGTCTGTGAGCGAGAATGGGTTTCTGTTTGGTTCTACGAATTTCAAGATGCGGCCCACAGCGAGAGCTAACCTATGTCCAGGAGTTTAGTAAGATTCTACATCTCCATTTTGAAACAATCCCCAGGGGGAAAACGTACAGTATTAATGCCCAGTCCAGCACATAAGAAGCCACCACCCGCCTAGAAACCCCCCAACCACTGGGGTTCCACTGAGTGGTAGGGCTGCTCATTGAGCTCAGACGAAAGCTGCTGAGTGGTAGTTATATAAATGATTGTAAAATGGCAAAAGCAGGTAGTACATCTAACGAAATCAATATACTTGAAATATCAAAGATTGGACTTCCACGATGCGCTGGCCTGAAATATATGGTCCAGGGGGGGGGGGATATCTGCGTATACGCAATTCGAAGATCAGCCAACCAGTTCAACCAGGAAGGCTAACCGAGGCAGACCTGAAAGGAGTGTTTCTAACGTGCGAAGCAACGTTATGCATCGCATTGGCTATTGCGGGGGGGGGGGGGGGGGGGAGGGGTCCAACAACCAGAAATGGTGGAAGAAGAGCTCTGAACTTTATTGCCTTAGTTAAGCTGCGGCTGGCAGGGTAGAGAGTGGACTTATCTGCAATTACGTTATTTTACCTTATAGTAGCCGTCATGTATTTCTGCCCTTCGCTTGCCTAGCGAACCACCAAAAATCAAATTACTTCCCACTTCAATGCATGAGAATGCCACCAATTCGCAATTAATAAACAAAGGCAAGAATATCTATAGAGATAGAAAAAAAAACAGCCTCAATTTTGTGAAGATGCAACATGCGTATTTGAAGTTTCATGTCCTATTCTGTGCCATCAAACTTACATTCAACCCAGACTGAAGATGACAGGCTAGTTCAATGTATCAGACCTTTGTAATCAGAACAGGATTTGGCCCCTTGGCCAGCATTCGCAGAGAATATGATTAATCCATCCCTCCCTCATTAAACTTATTTATTGGAACCCAATAGCCGAGCATACAGTGCAATTTCTGGAGTAAAGAGGTTGAAGCCTGGCTATGATGAAGAACCAAACTTGATTAGATATCAGATCTTAATAAAGAAATATGTGTCAGGAACAGGATATTATACCAAAGATCTCCGACTGTGGCTTAGAGTCTATTTGCCTCCGGCTAACAAGAGGATAGACAAATACAATTTTTCCCCGGCTAAATACACTCCACAAAAATACGCTAGTTATTCTAAATTAAACATAAGCGTATACACAGCTGTTACACCCAAAATAACCAGTGTTGCGGACATTGTGCCCAACTGCACTGATCAGGGTATGGAACCTTGGGTAGGGGGGTCGGGGGTCGGGGGTCGGGGGTCGGGGGTCGGGGGAACTATATAGGGCGCCTACACGCAACTGAGATGGAAGAACATGAATAGGCCCCTCATGGTGCTGCTGACAGCATACAGTCTACATGACAGATGCCGGGCGGGTAGGGCTGCAGCTGTGTAATCCTCCGTCTACAGCGCCCGCAGCCCTTGAAGCCTCTAGAAAATGAGCCGCCACCCTAACCTCCCCAGGGCGGAGAAATCGAACTGTCTGAAAATCCACTACGAGATCACTTCTCAGGCGAGAAACTTGGTTTCTTTTATATATATATATATATATTGGGAGGTGAGCAGGACGCGGGAGTTGATTCATTGGAGTATCCTTGTTCTGCAGGGAGGATGATTTTGTAGAAAGAATATTTCAGATAAATTTTACTAGCAACAGTGAATTGAATGGGTTGGGCACATACTGACTACTGGTTTTTTTTTTTTTGGGGTGTATCGGCTGTGTATACGCTTATGTTTAATTTAGAATAGTGTATTTTTGTGGAGTGTATTTAGCCGGGGAAAAAGTGTATTTGCCTGTATTTGTCTATCCCTCAACAGCATCTCGGCAACCCATTCCATCACCCTTTCCCACACTCTATACCATTCATGAACCATGATGGAGGGTCGAGTCAACAAAAATGAGCCACCCACAACAGGCCCCCACCTAACCATTAGCTCCCTGAAAACTTTCTTGGATAGCCCCACTGCCCAGAGCGGCCCAATATGGAAACCAACCTACCTCTTCGTCTACGGCTCACTCATGGACCTGGATGTCCTCCAATACGTGCTGGGCTCACCCCGTCGACTGCCTCCTCTCCGTCCCGCACGGCTGAAAAACTACAGGATGAAGATGTGGGGAATTTACCCGACTCTCATTCCTAGCAGCAACGACAGCAACAACAACAACAACAACAGCAGCAGCAGCAGCAGCAAGAAGAGCAGTGGTAATGAAAGTGGAGGTGGAAAGGGGAATGTCGATGAAATCTCCGGCGCACTCTATTTAGTCGAGCACCCAACACATTTCGCTCTTCTAGAGCAGTATGAGTCGAGCGCTTACACATGGCACCACTGTGTCGCGGAGTTCACCGATGATGGCGGGTCGACGACAGAGCAGAGCGGGTTCGAATGCCGGACATTCATCTGGCGTGGGGACCCGGATAGTGCGGAGTTGACGGATGGGAGGTTTGATTTGGAGGTATACCAGAAATATTATAAACCCCAATTACTTTAGAGAGAGGGAAGTTGATAGAGGGAGCGAGGGGCAAAATCCCTCAGTTAGCCAAACTGTACATTTTTTTTTGGCGGTCGTAATGAGTTATAGCCTGCCTGAATTCAGGCAACAGGATATCGTACGAAAAGATCAGTGGGCAATCAATCATGGTTTCGTAAGGTTGTAGAGATGAGCCGAGAGAACTGTTGTTATTGGATGGAAAGTGGATTGGAACTGCAACCGAAAATTTTTGGTGATTCTAATATTGTCATGATAGTTAAAATATATACAACCCCATCCGTATATAAATCAGTCGATGACGTGACCAGTAACATGCCCCCCTTCCACAGCCTACTTCTGCTTTCTATCCAAATCGGTGAAGAAGTCAAAGCCGAAATCCTCACTCGAATCATTGAAACGGCGCTTCTTATCGATCCCGTCAATCTTCTTGACATCTGCCTGATCAAGACGGAAATCACCCTGCAGGTTCTGCTTAATGCGGTCCGGCGTCTTGGACTTGACAAGCACAGAATGGCCGTGTGCAATTCCCCATGCTGTCAAAAAGGAGTGGAAACAAAAATTCCGTCAACGTCAGCAAGACATGACAAAAGGAAAATTTTAAAAACAGCACATACCCAATGAAACCTGTGCAGTCGTCTTCCCGGTCTTCTCCGCTACCTCCTTGATAACAGGATCATCAATCATTCTCCCCACAGACTCATGATTGTATATATCATTCTGGTTCCCTAGTGACGAATACTGCGTGACATGTATCCCCCTATCGGCCAGGAATTTCACAAATTCCTTCTGTTGCAGCCACGGATGAAGTTCCAGCTGGTGCACGGCGGGCACAATGGAGGCTTCTTTTAGCAGCCGTCCCACCTCCGCCTTGGAAAAGTTCGAGATCCCGATGGCTTTGGCTTTACCGGATTTTTGAAGATTTTCCATAGCTTTGTACGTCTTTGTTGTGTTTTTCATTTTTCACGGATTAACTTCCAGACAACATCACAGAAAACTCAATTCAAGAAGCGAACATACATCAACATAATCAATGTTCTCCGTCTTCGGATTCCCCTGCCCGTCCTTTGGGAACTTCTCATCCCCACGAGCAAAAGCGACGGGCCAATGCATGAGATATAGATCCACGTAGCTGACCCCTAGATCTTTCAACGACTTGTCGATGGCTGACTCGACATCGTCTGGGTGATGCTTATTGTTCCACAACTTTGACGTGATAAAGATCTCCTCCCTCGGGACTCTACTTTTCTTTAATGTGCGGCCAATGGCAGCCTCGGTTCCGTAACTGAGAACATATAGAGTGTATGACAAGTGTCAACTTTAGAGATGGTTCTGGATATGGGCAACGGAAGATGATCTGAAGGGGTGAGGCCCGTACATAGCAGCTGTATCTATATGACGATATCCAGTTTCCAAAGCGATCAGGACTGCTTTCTCCTGTGCATCCTGGTCTTGCCAGGTACCCAGGCCAATGGCAGGGATAAAGGCGCCTGTGTTAAGCTTGAATTTCGTTGAGGCGGCGGCCATGGTTAGTGTTCTGGAGGAAATGAGAATGACTACCAGAAAGGGCGGACAGTATTTGCTTTTCCCTATGATTCCTTAAAGAAACTAAAATGTTGAAAATTGAAATACAGAATTGAAGTTCCTATCCTGATCGCAATGAAAAAGTGTTTTTTGAGTGTTTAGAAGGAGGTTTGTTTGCCCACCAATTACCCCCTCAGACGTCATTTGAGATGGAAGTTGCAAACGGTGGGCGACTACAGGTAGTAATGACGTCCGTATGAAATAATCAACTTAAAACTGTGCCCGCTCATCCTTTTTGTTGTGAAAACAATTCATAACAAATTGAACTAACAAACATATATCCCATTTCTTGTTTGATGTTTAAAATGGTATTCCTTTTCCGTTTTCTTCGTTGGCCGTTCTCTCAGGCGGTTCATTGCATAGACAAGAACATTGTCTCCAAATCTTAGTTCAGCGCATTTTCTTCTTACCAGTGGGACTCTTTTAAGACTTCAGGCGTGGCGGTATGGCCTCGTCAGGTTGTCCCGCTGAAGGATTTCGAACACGGCAAAACATCACCAGAGTGTTAATGTGCTCGTTGCTCGCGAGGACAATCGCCGGACACTTTGTACAGCAGACTAACGGTGGATTCAAGCCTGATGGAAATAGGTCAACTTAGCTGATCGCAGGAGTTTCTCTCCTCAAAATATCAGCGTCGACTCTGAGAGGAATCCTTTCTCGAGAGATTCGATTTTCTCTTTATCGAGACAAGCACAACTATACTTCATCGCTAGCATCCTTGGAATTTTGAAGGAGATTCCTTTGCTTCGAGTACGCATGTCAATATCGATTGTGCTCAGCACCCTCAGCGTCAAAAGGAGAGAAAAAAGGGACGCATTATCATAACAAATAGGGCGGGACCAGAAAAAAATGAAATAATAAAGAAGAACCTTGGTTCTCATTTCAGGGAGGCAAGCCAACCATAATTGAATAACATTATTGATACTATTCCAGTCCAAAATGAAGGTTGATGCGGCGAGCTAGCATGGATAGGACACGATTCTATTCTCAGAACATCCCGGTCAAGCTAACCTTTTGCACCCACTCAGCTAGAGTTCTGGACATGTGCAAATACAAACAACTGCTGAAGTTGTTGATGTGCTTTACTAAACTGCGGTTCGGTTAAAGATCTGCTAATTGGGGGCGGAGTTAGTTAATTTTAGGTGAGCGTTTCTATAATTAATGGCCTTCTATCCTGCACAAAAAGTCATCACTTCTGCTGCACATGTAAGGCAGTTAACATAGGGCTCATGGATTGTGATTAAGCATTTTATCGGAAGACTGCTTCGGGATTCATAAGCCTGTAACTCCGTATAATGTGTTCATCTTCTATTTTAAGTTTGTCGCAGTGAAATGCGAAGAGGCGGAAATGTGGCTCTTGTGAGGGGTGTGGCTGAGGCGGAGTTGATGTTTGAACAAATCAACACCTTGAAACTATTATAAAGGAACAAGCTGAAAAGCTTGGAGTATTCCCCAAAATCAGAAAAAAACCAAATAAAAACACTTGTCCAGCATCGACTTTCTTCAGCCGAAGATGTGCCATTGCCAACTGTCCGCGGGCATGCAAATCTCGATCAACCCGCGTCAGCCTCATGATTTTCTCAAGAAACTACGGAGGGCTAGTTAGTTGGTTGGACGAGCTCTCGAAATCCTCAATCCCGAGCCTGAGCTGCTATGTACCGTAAGGTCATTGGAGAGTAAGCTCGATGGCTTGTTTGTATCAAGTCTATGGGCATCCATGACTTGAGAAAATGATCAAGGGAAAAATAGAGATTATCAAGCCACATCTGTGCTTCACCCAGCCAGCAGTATATAGCAAAGAGATGCTGAAGAAGTTATAACAATGATGACAATGATGACAATGAATCGATCCTGCTGAAGCACTGTTGAATCCTCAATAAACACAAGAAGGTAAATTTGGTTTTGGTTGTTATACTGTGCTATTATGATTGTTGGCGCCATCATTGCCTAACAGCCAAGCAGAATACCAGCAGGCCTCGAATTGATGAATGGCAAAAGAGACTGAGTTTTCAAACCTGCCACGACGCAATTTTAAAAGCTACAGATTCCAGTCCCCAATCAGATCTGAAGAAAAAATGTGCCCAGGATTCGTCCTAGTGGCTGCCACCGTCGATAGCCAAGCCAACTATCCAAGACGCCAAAGAGGACGAGTGCTTCTTACAATTAAGGGATTCGCTAAGGTTGATAGGCTTGCTGATGTGCCACAGCACTAAAATGCAGACGATTTCATTCTGCGCGTCTTGGAGCAACGGTCTAAGCCCCAGCCTCAGACCCTTGTAACCATACTTAAAACGTTTTTTGCAACGATTGATCGTGCGATTTGGCGAATTTCGTAACCCCTAAGTCAAATTGGCACTGTTAGCGTTGAGTCCTGACGGAACACTGTCAGGGGGTGCGTTGCCGGTCGTTGTGTTGCTTTGCTTACCTAGGGCGTGAGCAGACTTAATATATCAGGCCAGTCACCCATCAGCCAATTTCTCCTTTCTGCAAAAATTACCCACCCAGCTTCATTCATACCTCTGTTAACTCCAGGAAAATCTTCATTATCCTTCACATCCCCAGAAGCACACACTACATACCCTTCATCATGCAATTCAAACTCCTCACCATCCTGGCTCTCACCTCGTCTCTTGTCGTAGCTGACGAGGTTGCTGGCCGTGATCTTCAAGACGATCTGTATGCATATCATTCCATATATCCCCCTAACACATATATATGTATATTTGGAGGAGGAAAAAGAGAAAGAGCCAGAAAACTAATTCTCCCGACAACACAGTAACTCCATCGGCGCCGGTATCGCCTCACAAGTGAAAAACAACATCGACTCATTTGCAACCATCCTCGCCGGCGTCCCACCAGATGTTATGTCCGTCCTCATTACCGCCGTTCCTCAGCCTACCGGCACTGACCTCAGTGGCTACTTCAACTCCCTCATCAGCGATGTCAAGGACGGCACACCTCCGGCCTGGTACACCGGCCTTCCCAACAATGCCAAGATCTTCCTCAGTTCTAAGGCCTCTCAGCTAGCTTCTGCAGTTCCCACCGGCCTTCTACCCACCGACGGTTCTGGTCGTACTGGCGGCCCGACAGCAACTGGCAATGCCGCAACAACGACTGGCGCCAAACCGACCTCAAGCGCTCAACCAAATGGAAATGCTCCAGCCAGGCCAGCAGGTGCCATTCTGGGCTGCATTGCTGGAGTAGCTGGTGTGCTTGGTCTAGCTATCCTGTTGTAAAGGTATTGATCTGAGGGGTGGCTTGAAAGTTAAATTTCGTGGAGATGACGCAACTTACTTAGACACAGACTGTATCCGGTTTTTTCTTCTATTTTCCTGCTGTTCGTTCTTTTACATTAGTCAATATGTTTTAATGATATCCGCGGCTTACGCTGGTTCGTCTCTCAAATTCTAAAATAGGCCATGGGCTGTATACAGCCTAATGGCTCATGGGAAGTGAATGCATGGGTTTGTATTATAAGTCCTTGTTTATACCACTATTATTCCAACCTTTTCCCTCCTACTTTTTATTCCCCCACAACCACGCCTTGATATCACAATAGTTTATCAGAGAATCGCTTAGTCACGGTGGCTACAATACAAATTGGAGAAGAGTCATTTTTCCAAATCTCCTGCAAATGTCCATTCTATCCAAAGTTGACCAACCCGGCTATATCGCCCCTGACCCTCTCTTGAAAGGTCGCATCGGATGTATGCCAGAGTAACCAAGAAGTAATGCAGTATTCAATCTCCTTTTCCCTGCATGTATGACAACAGAACAAGAAAGCAGGCATTTTTAAAACTTCTAATCTAGGTGTTCACAAGCCACTTAACAACATGGAACCAATTCAAAGGTTTGGTGAGATCTCACCATTTTATATTTCCCTATCTAAAGTGGGTTACGCCAGCTATTAAGGATCAGCAAGAGGTACTTTTGAGATAATTCTGGCTGATAGGCTGATCCATAAGTGGTAGCATTGATGTGGGCTAGAATAACATCTTTTCAAATAACCCAACTACCAACGAACGACTCATTATTAAATACTAAAAAGGTTGCGAGTGAATGTGCACATATGTCTCTACCGGCCTCCCGTAGAAATAACTAGTGTCTTCCCATAAAATTCATTCGATTTTTTTTTTTTCAGTTTTTCGCTTTTCCAGAACCGAAAAATATTTCTTCTTCCAACCGCACAACATTCATAACAGTCCAACAAGGTCTCTTCCGAGCCTTTTCCTGGAGCTACTGGTCTGGATTGAGTATGCGTTCTTGATGGGGCTGTAGCCATTGCCATGATAGTTTTTATGAACTAGATAGGTAAGCTTCCACACTCGCGATCACCAGCGCCCTTTCAATGATGACTCTCCTTATAACATGAACAATCCAAATCCTATTTCATCGTGACGGATGCCAATATTGCTATTGGAAAACCTCTCTGATATGCTCTCCGCTTGCCTATATAATTGTCACGCTCATGGTCATTGGTGATTGACTAACCTGTCGGTTATTAGGGTTTTACGTTCATTGTCTTCCATTATATATCTCTGTGGCTGGTCACACCACCTATGTAAAAAGGTACGTTTGGAAACGCTGTTCCAGCTCCTGTTAGACCTTGCTGCTTCCCCATCAATTCACCCCTCCCTTCTATGATGACCCTACGACATGCGAAAGGCATTCCTCAAACTTAAGTTATCATGTGGAAACTGTCAATTTACAAGTTTCAGCCTTGTCTGATTATACCTCTTACCTACCACTGCTTCAATTCAAGTATCTAGTCTATACCGGTCAAAATAGCGTTGCTAACGTCTATCCTGACATTAGGTATGCTCTTGGTCTCTCAAACCATTCTAGCACATTTGCTCCCAACTATTTCCATTCTTATGAAGAAGACTTGAACGAACGGGCGGACAGAACCGCGTTCTTCGCTCCTCATCCAATACAAGCAGAGCGTACAAACTCTGCGAGTGATGGAATCGTTGGATTGCTTGTTGAGAATTCGTCAGCTGATTATTATGATACCGCCACTTTGCATCGGTACCAATGGTAATGCCTCGGGAAAGTAAATATAAACTAACGTTAATGCATTAGGTATAATCTATTTTTTTTTTTTTTTGATCTTTAATAATAAACACCTTCCCATTGCTGTGTTTTTATCGAGGGCACTACACGCGGCTTTCGTCTCTTGTATGATGAACCATATTCACACTGTTTGAACCCGGCACCATTGTGTTTGGGGTATGAACGTACTTACACTGAAAATTCTGATTTAATGAGGTATGTCCAAACCACCCTTCTTTCCTATTGGGCAACTTCTATCCGAAATCGAAGCTGACTGATGGGCTCAAAGCCTGATTTTAGACGATCCGCTGTTATTTGCAGTTTCCGTTGAAGTATTAGCATGCTTTGCTTAGTATTCAAGGTCACTAATTTGTTTCAACGCCATTATAGTGACCACCATCCGAAGTGCCTGTAGTTCAGCCTCATATGATAATTGGTATGTATGCTGTTTCCTTACTACTTCAAATTTGCTGTCCAATCCAAACCCACCTGATGAACTCTTATATTTCGCTGTGTTCTTACCGAGTTTTTACTTTGAAGATCAACTATCATCTTGGAGAACTGATCCACACTCGTACACCCACGATATCATTTGATATGCGGTTTGCAGTGGCTCGAACCTTGCTAACAGTTTCCATTATAAGATTTCCCATCTCCAGTCGCAGCTTTGCCATTGAGTCACGTCTATGGCTTTAGATAGTCCAACCTCGCTTTTAAAAAGCAATAAAACATTATATTTTTATCTTTTATCCCATCTCGTAATATTAATTATCCGTAGTTTATGGCCCCTGTTCCACCCATAACCCCTCAATCCACCCACAAACCCTTCTTCTTATGATACCCCTCCAAACTGTCCTCGCCATAATGCTGATGCACACTCTTCTTCCCCTCTGGCCAGCGCACCCACTCCGGCTTCGAGTCCGCAAGTATACACACCATCTCCTCTGGCACGGGCAGTTCCGTATCAATCGCTGATGCGAATGGGTGAATCAATTCCGGCCAATGGTGATCCCAGAGCCACAGCATTGTGCTGCAGTTTGAGCAGAAGCTGCGTTGTGAACTGCAGAGTTCCTCGCGCGGGGTGACGCGGTCTTTGATTGCGGTGTACTTCCTAGCGTGTATTGCGAATATATGTGAGACGTGTGTGGGTTGGCTTGCAGCATTATAACAGCACACGGGAGATGCGCAATTTATTGGGATAACACGTAGATATGCAACAAAGGAGCAGAGAGACGCACTTGATTAACTCTTTTCCCTTGTGTATTTTGAGGGAGTCTGCGATTCCTCCCAGGTTCACGCTGCCGCTGTACCCGCCCACCTTGCGACAGATGCTACAGGCGCATAGTTGGTAGGGAACCGGTGTGTGCGAGTCGACAGTAAATTCTACGCCACCGCATTGGCAGCTTCCGTCGAGCTTCCTGTGCAGTTATATGTTTGTTACTGCGATGCTTTTCTTTCCATTTAGCTTTTAAGAGAGCGGATGCAATGGTGCTATCCGATAACTGGTATGGATTCTAACGATGGCATATTCTATCAAGGTAAAACGAGATATTGTACTGACATCGGCATTTCCGTCAAATAGCGAATTGGAACCACGAAATTTTGTTATTGCTGCTGGAAAAGTAGCCCTTCTGTTATGCGCTGAGATATATGTTTATCTAGGCTTCTGACAATAACGGGTGCGGAGTGCTAAGAGGTAAAAGATGGTTTCCTCCATTTAAATAGTCTAAAACATCCCATAGTTATCCTTTTCAACTAGTTATGCAACCCCGCTCGCTGCAACTTTCACCCGCTCGTTGGTCTGAAAACTTTTCTTTGAGTGGATATGATGTTATTGTGACGTCGTCGGGTTGTGTTGAATGCAAGGTATATTTTTTTTACACTTCAAAGAAATTTCAGAGCTTTAAAAAACAGCTGTTGACTGGAATATAAATCAATAGAATTAGAAAGTTTTCAACAATCAGCCGCTGGTCGTCTAGTTGGTTTATGGCACTGGACTGTAATATCTGATCGCTATCCAGGTGTCGTCGGTTCGACTCCGACCCAGCGGAGGATTTATTTTGGTAAGATTTTATTTTTTATTTATTATTATTATTTTTTTTTCGGCACCGGGGGTTACTATGGTTCCGACATTCGGCGCAATTTTTTTTTTTTCTTTGACATTATTTTGCCGTTGTCTCTTCATTGCTTGAGACTATCTAGTGGAGCAAAGTAAACAGAAAGTTGTGCACAGACCCGAGGCATTCAACCGGCACCAGAATCCCCAGGACAGACAGATAGCTAACTGATCCAAGATGGTAATTTATCACAAAGAAAATGTGGAAAAAAAAAACATCCGACCTAAATAACGATGGCGACCTGCAAATCAAACATTAGCAGGTGCCATTGGATCGCTCACCGCCGATATTCATGGTGCATAAAAGCAAACCACAATCGTGCCCGATGGAGAACTGGATGCCGAATAGCAATTATCCAAGTGTATCTGTTAAACGAGGAATACCAAGTAAGGAGCCGAGCAAGGAATGGAGATAGCAGTGGCCAAATTTCGAATGGCTGCAAAGCGTAATGGAGGGAAAACTTTTACAAGAAATTTCTCAATAAAAATCAGTGGTTGATCTCTAGTTAGCTATGGAGTAGTTATCGATGATAACTTAATCTTATCTTAAGCGGGGAAAAACAGTACGTAAGCTCGTGTTGATGTAGAACCGTGGGGAGCTCGACTTGACACACTCCCGAAATCTAAATTCCTTCAGCAAATTCAGCCAAACATCCAGACTACGATCAAGATAACAGCGAATTGCGATTTCTCTAACGATGGGTTGCGTGACAATCAGATAAGCAGTTGACAAAAGCTAGTTAGCTTTTAGCTTACTTACAGGTGGGGGTGGCCCGATTTCCATGACTGGGACTTGAAATTCTATTTTCAAACCTACCATGGCACAACGCCGTCCCTTGGCTCCGATTAATTGGAACAGAGTTCCTAAGAAGGAGCGTCGTCCCATATCTTAGCTCAGACCAAACTGAGGTTCCAACACGATGGAATTCCAGTATGACACCATCAGATTAGACAGACCAGTTCGAACCTTGGATGTATCCACAAACCATGCACGCCCCTCGAAGACCTTCTGAACGTGACGGTAGATCGGTTCTAAAGTAACTACGCACGGCGATAGTTCGAACGTAAAAAGAAGTTTATCTTTGGCTAGGACGGAGAATACTGGGATGTGCCAATGTGGCGGTGCGTTGGATTCGCTGATGAGGTCTCTGGTTGAACTGGTGGACGGACCCCCTTTGGGGGATGAGTGCTACAACGTTGGAGATGCTTACGCCTAAGGACAAGAAGAAGCTTAGCAAGATGTTCTGGGCTGACATTGGGGGTTATGTTACAATCTTGCCTAATCGATTGCGCTGGCTAGTTACCTCGACGTAAATTTTGTTGAAAAACAACTTTTGCCGCAGGATAGATTTAGACTGTCATAGAATAACTAACTTCTGATCATGCACAACTCTGGCTCATCAATCATCTGAAGGAAACAATTCAATGCTTCCCTCAGTCACCCAATCACACTATCCATCATCATTTCTGCGATAGCCTCCAAAAAATGACTCCCTTTAATGCTTTCGCAAGAAAGCGTCATATCCCATCTCTCGATCCTTTTTTTTTTTTTTTTTGGCCCTTTTCATCTCTCTCATTCTCTCTCTACAATGTCCCCCGTGCTAGACGTCACATCTAATACGCTATTCTTCAGGTTCTCGTCTGGTTCTTCCAGCGTATTTGCAATCATTGCTATGGGCGGAATCCTCGAAATTCATGAGATTGTCGGTTGAGGTGTCAAGGTTGCTGACAAGCTAGCTGTGTTTCATCCACCTGGGAACAATCATCACTTAATCTCATTTTCTCTTTCTCGAGACACAAGTAGATCGAGATTCCCTGAGAGTGTGTGCATCGTAGAAATGGCGCTTTAGACCTGTTACGCCTCTATATCTCGCGTCACGACAACAGGGGTAAGGACATGCAATTACTTTCTCAGCTTATCCAGATGCTTGTTGTCAATATGATTCAAAAGAGTCGCATTTTTCATCCGTTGATTAAATCGTGTTCTCGATGGTTTGGTATCATTGCTTGAGTAGAACGGATAGAATCACGGAGCAACAGGTGTGTAGTGAAATGCAAGTAGATTGCATTGAGGTTGTAGATTGTGCAAATGATACTAACAGTGCTGGGTTCAGCCTGCTTCGTTGTCGACAAAGGTCGCACAAAGATAACAAAACTAGAGAAATGTATGACTGGTTAACTCATCAACGAGCTCTTCTACCATTTCAATATTTCTGCTGATAAGACGTGGCATTCAGCGATTTTCTTCGACACTGCAGAATATGTTTTGCGCGGTCCTGCAGGGAGATACTAAAATAACGTCAGCAGCTGATAAATAGCGTATTTGCATTAGAACCAACCTGGATATTGGTATAGAACACACATCACATAGCCTACCAACTGGTGATAGCCCAGGATAATATGCAACTCCCTCTGTTGACATGCAGAGATTCACCATATCCTGAAGACACTGTCTGCCAATATCACTAACAAGCGAGGCTTGTTTGAAGAGATTTTCCTTCAAGTCGCCCTGTCTCAGATATATACTTGGTATATATATCGAAGAGGGTCCTTGTATCCTTCTCATTGAGCTCGTTTCCTGCCATGTATCCATCATAGCTAGCGTTCCACCAGCTAGTGATGAAATCCTCATCTTTGATCAAAGTTTTTTTTTTGTACAATATTGACCGCTCAGATTTCAATTCCAGATACTCATCTGGCTTGCCTGCGAACCGCCTGGTCAATTCAGCAATATTTTTGTTGATTGAGATGATTTCCTCATCACGCTCAAACTCAGCAATGACCTCAGCATTGAGGTTCAGAGGAACATGTGGATCTCGATGATGAGCCATACTTCGTTCCATGTTACCGAGTTTTTATGATTGAGGACCTGATTCCGGGCAGCTGTCAACGCATTTGCTGAAAGCTTTTGTTAGCTTGATTTGACTGGATTTAAGGGAATGACATGCGGTTTATTTTGTTCGCCATTTCGCCCCGAATACCGTGAATCTGTATGCGATCCTTGAAGCCATCACGCTGTGCTAAACTTGTGATGCTATGTCGTAGTGATGAGAAGGTTAAAGCAAGACCAGGGTCACTTCCTTTAACGGTAACCATACAAATGAAGGGACTGCTCTCGACATTTTCATTCCATTGAAGTGTCCAGGACTCTTTGCCCTTTTGGTGGATGCTTTCCCAGCAGCTCGTTGATCGTCGAGATTCTTCTGAATGCATCATCTATAATTCCAATAACACTCGCCCAAAATAAAAACTTCAATCCGAGCACTGGGTGTGAGTTAAAACCAGGTTTGGGCCTAGGCACATGAGCCACTTGAATCATTTGGCAGATGGTAGGGGTTATGGACGTACAACAGCTCATCATCCCGGTAGTGATAGCCCCTTTAAAAACGTGGGATTAAGGGTGACCCAGCGTTTTACGTCATCTGATCCGCCTGTCCATTTGATATTAAGGTAAGATGCTTCAGTAGTGTTAGGTAGAGCTTTCTCTAAGTTTCTGGTTATATTCATCTCATACCCTGTAGTAGAGGTCACTCATTTGAATATCTGTAGCTGCTTGATTCACCAATGGCACCCGCTCTAGCAAAGATGGAGAGTGCAGCTCGAATCTGAACTCTTGCAGCCTCATGCACGGAATCATGATTACGATCACCAAATAGATGATTTTAACGATATTCGATGCCTTAATGTGTTACCATGAATCTTTCTCGAACTCGTGTTGACAAGTTGTACTTTTCTCTTAGCTGGGTTCTTATATACTGTGGTCCATTTAGCACTGCAGAAATATAAATAGAAATTAATATAAGAGACAATATACCTCAGGAGCATCCTTCTTTATATCCTTTTGAGAGAGTTCAACCGGTTTTGCGCTCCCATTTCGACGAGTGGAATGTTGTAAAGAAATCGCAAACAGATTCCAGGGAAAGAAGAGTCGCGTGATATGCAATTAAACTTTCAGCAAATAGCTTTAGAGTCTGTGAAGTAGGACCAGGCTCATTTTTATCGAAATATTTATGCGCAGGCTCATGGTGTAAGAGCCTCCAGCTGCATTGAGTCAGTAAGAAATCATCTAGCATCGTTCATCTGCAACTCACATTGTCCAATCCATAACAGCTCTCTCTTGTTTTAACTCAGTGGCTGCAGCAATTATTCGAAAGCAGATGATATTGTAAAGCCTCGAGACACGGGCACTTTGTAGTCGCTCTTTCACCTTATCACTGAGTATGCCATCCATGATGAATCGCATGATATCTCTTAGAATCAAAGAATCAAGAAAGGAAAATGAAAATGATGGAACCATTAAATAGCTGTAATTTATGTCTTATTAATATATCTGTGAAAGTAGACTTGATGAGCAGGGTGAGTTATGCCTCTCTGACTCACCCCGCTAACACCAATGGGTTCAAACGTCTCACCCATACTCACCCCTAAGATCATGCAACTGAGATCCTTCAAGCGCAGCAAGTTAGAGGCTCGATGGGCTGCCTACCTCGTTTGGTAGCTGCTTGAATACGGCTGAGAGGACGGGAAGCCCTATATGTATTCCGCTCCCTTTGTTCGTATGTAATGGAAGATTGTACGAGAGAGGGTCTTAAGGGGGCTATCCAGGGGGGTTGTCTACTAAAAAACTCAGTTCTCTGCGGGGCAATATCCTGCGCCAGCACAACCACGCCAACTCCGGAGCCCTTCCTGGCCGCCGCATTCACAGCGGTTGAATAGCAGCAAAACAAGTAAAAGCATGGGTCGGAGTCGAACCGACCACACCTGGTCAGCGATAAGGATATCACAGTCCATAGAGCAACTAGACGATGAGCGGAACGTTACTTAGTTATTGGTCAGCTGACCGCTCGATTTGAAATCTCCCGCCTGGTGTTTGCAGCGTTTGCATGCTCCGACTGAACATTTCCTTCAATGTTGGCCTACAAGCATTGGGGTTGATAATTCAACTCAACCATCACCTTCACCGGCCGGATTTTGTCTGTTATATATCCGTATCCTATTTTGCATACATATATTATACATAGGGGGGACAAATTATTTCATATACTATCTGAACCATGAGTTTTGGCAGTCCCGGTGGTCGTTCTGTCAATTACAAACCCAAACCGTATGTAATCTGACTCTTTACAATGCGCCCATAACATACCGCCAGAAAGTGGATGTAAACTTCATTTATGCTTTAGTAGTTCTCTGCATTGGGCGAAGGTTGTTAATTTTCATTTTGTTTCCGGGTGATTAGGCCAGAGCGTGGAAGTTTTCCGCTTGATCATGACGGTATGTCCGTCACCTGTTTGACGTGCTGATCTATGTATTCATAAATCAATGCGACTGTTCCTGATATTTGGTTACTGACTCCTTCGTTTTTGACTTTCAGGAGAATGCAAATTTATCATTTCATCGTATCTTCAATGCTTGAAGAAAGGAGGTGGTGTGAATGATGAGACTTGCCGCAAGTTAGCCAAGTCCTATTTGTCCTGTCGCATGGATCAGTATGTTCCTTTTCTCCATTTCCTCTGTTTCTCAATATATATCCATTTTCCCGGATGATTAATTTTGTGCTTGGCTTGATCATTGGAAAATTAATATATTTTACTTTAAGCAATTTAATGGCTCCAGAGCGCTTTGAGAATCTGGGGCTTGTATTTGACGAAGACAAGAAGAAAAGGGAGGAAGCCAGTGCCTCTACCACAGCAGCTTCTGAGAGCGAGAAACCATCTACATGATATAGTCTAGCTTAGAAGCTCCAGGATATCGACCGGAGCCAGAATTGGGTATATCCATGTTGTACGATCTATATGGGGCATAGGGCGGAGTTGTTGTCCATTCGATTCTTTGGGCGTTAGCGGCAGGTTGCTTAATGGAATTCAATAAGCTAGGCAGAAAGGAAAATCACCACTTCCATATGATTTCTGCTTCATCTTTGAGGGTCTAATTTGCAAAATTGCTTGATTCGCCCTCGTTCTGAATCCATACTATTAGACGCGGCAGGCGGACGCGTAAATTGGCGCCCGGTCTCATTTCTTGTTGTTGTTGTTGTAACAGGGGATACGGCCTGTTAGGACTCTAAAATACGATCTTTATATCTGGCATATTTCTCTGGGGTAATCTTCCGGGCTAGTCCTGGACAAATTGGCCGTGTATCGTGAATATCGAAGCGGAGAATAGGGGTGGGTGATGAGCTCTAAATGACAGTGGAGAAAAATACAGCTCGATTGCTGAGACCTTAAGTCAGGATAGCTAAAGAGAATGGGCATCTTATCAACCTCTAATTTTCAAGGTCATAGGACATACAAATCAGACATAGATGACCACAATTTAAAAAGACAACGTCCTTCGTAGCTACCCGCTTACTTGTGAAACAACACGCTAATTGTCCTTTAACTTAGTTACTGCACATTTCATTAGGACCAGGGAGGGGCTTGTTATCTGACAGGAAACGGTTATTAGTTGTCGAAACCAAGTAAGGGGGAAACAGTTCTGTTATTATACATCTTGTGAAAATCACATATCTGCTGCAGTTGTCAGTTATGTTTGAAAGAATTACAATCCCTGAGGCTTAAAGGGAGCTTGACTTGATCTTCTCCCAAGAATGAATATCCAATACTAAATCAAATGGTAGTCTCAGTCAAATTAACAAAAGAATAGCTAATGGAAGCTGGAATGTAAAGCACTGGGTAAAGTTAGAGAGGTCAGAATGATAAATTCAGCCTTGAAACAAACCAACTTCCGATGTTCAACTATTTTATTGTAAAAAAAGTCACATGATCCATGGCCACAATCAGGTGACATGGATAAACCTTCAGCTTTAGAATCAACGTCACTTATTACAGTGCCGCATGAGTTGGTTTAATGGATCTTCAGTTGATAACAGAGAAAGCATCAAAGTGGGATTTCTTAACACATTTGTTGGGTTCTTTTTATTTTTAAATGGACTTGAAAAATGTCAGAACCTACCATGATATCATGAGAGTTGCAAATGAATCTCGGGTTTGATACTGAGCTTTCATTGCTTGGACAGCTCAACTTGGGATCTCGCCTGGCGCATCATTCAAATTTCACTGCTTCCAACCAGACTATGTAGACACAAATGTCCTCAATTGTACGATCCCCAGACCCATGCCTGGTCGCAATAATCCTCGTCATCCAATCTCGTGCTGGCCCGCGCTTTGTCTACCACTACCCCCCAAGCCCATCTACCATCATAAACAACAAGCCCCGTCGTAATTTTCGTCCAAAAAACAATGCCAAAAGTTCAGACTCCAGTCTATCAAGTGCTGATGGTAACTCAAGTTCTGATGATGACGAACTCGGTCATTCCTCTGCTGGTAGTAGCTCAATTGGCCGGGGAGCTAACGAGCACAGCAGACGGGGCGGGTTAAGTGATAGCCGCCAACCATCTTCAAGGGCGCATAGTTCCTCACCCTCTCTGCAAGTTACGCGACGAAGTGCGACTCCCGACGCTAAACCGGATAGTCAACCAGATGCCGGTAGGGAAGAGGCTATGGGAGAGCTGTTTCAACCGCCGTGGGAATCTTTACTAGGACTGCCGACTAGCGTATGGGAAAAATTACTCAGTCCATCTCCAGCATGGCATAAGCGTAAATTCGAGGTGGGTGTCAATGATCTTGTTTTTGTGGGATGGCCTGTTTTTGTGAGAGAGGACGGGACATGGCGGAAACGGAAGAAGAAAAAGAGAACGAGAAAAAAAGAGGCATCAACGGAACAAGATCTAAGAGATGGTGATGAAAGGAGGGATGAGAAGAGGGGTGATGGATCCTCGATACAAGCGCCGCAAACAGATGGCAAAAATGACCCCATTCCGGGGGATAAGGCGAATGCGGAAGGCGATGGCCTTCTACGATTCCAAGAGAGTGACAAGGGTTCAATGACGATGTTCAACGTGGTTTTCGTATTAAATCCGCCATTGTTGGAATATAGTTTGCGGATACGGGAGAAGTATGAGAATGTGATCAAGAAGTTCGGGAAGGGGTTGAAGTCGGAACAGGCGAGGGTGGATTACGTCTGGAAAGAGGCTCAAACGATTGTTAATATCAAGGAGAAAGCCCGGGAAAACAGTACGTAATGAAAATCTCACTTCATCTACCTTATTCTGGTAGTAGAAAGTTGTCTAACTCTCGTTGAAAACCAGAATTGTCCCTTTCTGGACTTTATTCGGAACTGCTGTCGAAGTCTTCACTTGCTCAAGCGATATCTACAGTCTATACAAGTATTGCAAACTCCAGAATCGCCTCCGTGACGCTTACACCCGAAGCAACAATGTCTCTTCAGGTTCCTCCCATAACTTCGACGTCTTATCTCCCTTCTGCCACGGAGACAGCATATCCTGGTCTCTGGCTGACCACAGCAAATAGTCTTTCAGCTACAGATAACATGACTGGTATGGAAACAGATGTTCCCAACCAAACATTAGCAAAGCATTTCGCCTTGCTTCTCCTAACAGATGAAGCAACGATATTGAAGGATATTGAGGGTTCAGTGGGTCCACTTGGCCCGCGACTCGCGCATTACATTCGCGCCTCCAAACCAACAAAATCATTTGCGCAGATTTCTGCCCAATCCGGAATTCCGCTAAGTGACATCCAGGTGCTTGCGAGTCACCTTGCCTACTGGCGAAGAGCCCGAGCTGTCCCTCCATTGAGCCGACGGGATACGTATATAGTTTCCCCCAACGCCGATTTGAGCAAGCTTGAACAAGCAACCGAAGCTTACGAAGCGGCCTTCCCAACCCTACCAAGTCTGCCGAAAATGCTTCACGCTCTGAGTGACACGCCTAAACCGTATTCCAGGTTAATACCTAGCAGGGACCACAAAGAGACATACTATGACATTCTGGCATGGTTACTGAGAGGAGGTTGGGTCACACAACTACGAACGTTTGGATGGGTCAGAGTAAGTCCGGAGATCAAGCAAGCTGTGAACGAAGCACTGGAAAGGGAGAAAGAAAATAAGAATAATGATGAGGAAGAACATGAATCTTCATCGATAAACCTAAATGATAAAGGAAAGCGACATCATCGGACTAATATCAACGATGATGAAAACAATGATTCCCACTCCTCGTCTTCATCCTCCCTCGATAGTGACGCCAGCGGCGATGCCACCCCCATCCCGAACAAATTCACCAATCCAGAAAATATTACAAAGCACGAAAAGCAGAAGCGCTCACCCCTCACCTCCTCTCTCATTCTGCGGCCTCATCGCGCCTCATCATTAGAATCCCACTGGCTAGATGAAATTCTTTCCCAGTTCCCTGAAGCGTCGCACAATACCAACATGGACAGTACCAACCACAGTCCTACCCCCACCGCAACTCTGGATGAATGTGATGATGTCGATGCTGCTCTCCGAAAATATTGGCCTATTTTCACCAAGTACTTCAATGGCACAGATGCGCTGGAGAAAATACCCGTGCGCGAAGGGCTAAATCGGAAGATTGTCTGGCGTTTACTGAACAGGATTGATCGGAGTACATTTTACTCTGGGAGTGAAGGGAGTGGCAGTCCTTCTTCAAAGGAAAAGGTGCTTGTTACTGTGAGACATTGGTGATATATAAATCAAGGGAGAGAATATATAATTCCATCGCCTCTTTTTTTTTTTGCCGGCATATCCTTGGCTGTCGATGGATAAACTATCAACAAGGTAATATTGCTTCACAGATCTATATAAGGTTTCCTTTTAGTTAATGACAATTATGATTATTATCAGTTGATTTGATCTTCCATCTTTCTGGCTTATAATACCAGTAGGTTTTTGGTTGGAGGATTGAGCTTATTTTACTTCGTCACGGATAGCCACCTCCCAAATGCCTCTCATTTAATTAAAAACGACTAGCTGATAATTCATGAGAAAATTGATAAAATTATTATGGATTACTTAAATGCCTTGTGACAGAGCTATTTGATATATGCCTTAAATAGAGGTCGAAAGGGGGGTGTGATTGATGTCCCAGGACTATCCTATTGACTCCGAGAATTAAAAGTCAGCGTAGAAGTCCCATAAGGAATAAATTGAGCTGGGATAGGCCACAAAGTGAAAATTCATAAGCAGTGAAAAACTGCTGTGTATGAGTAGTGGGGTATATAATTTCTTTTACACCAGCACAGCTGGAAGTGCCTATGAACTTCCAAGGTAACCTTCCGGAGAGCATCCATCAATAACCCAGGCTACGGGCTGCAGAGGGAACCTCGTCTGCCCTCCGCCTCGTAAAGACGATGAGATGGAATAAAACTATTTCAGCTCCTCATAGTCACTGCGGGTTTTGCAACTTGATGTCCCATTGAACAAGTGATAGATGTGTGATAGACGTGGAATACTGAAAAAGAATATCAAGAGGAGACGGATATGGGTAAAGGAGCTGATTAAGGAGAAAATAGGGAGGAACAGGGACAAGTAAATAAAGAATTGAGGAACAAATACGGAGAACTTGAATGGTGGATTGAATGATAGAACCATCACCGGAGGGATATTCAAAGGAGAGAAATATAACATAGAAGAAAAAGCAGGATGTGTCATGCTTACATTGACTCCGCATTCAAAGCCCACGATCATAGAGTGCTTTTTGAAGCGTCTTTTGAAACGTGAAGATATTCTCCGGGGACATCATCGTATAGTGGGCACCATCCACATGGTGCATTCGAGGTGACTCCCGCGAGAAATCGGCCCATTTACTCAACTTATTATCGACCCAATCTGTCTGATTTGCGGCAGCTTGTTTCAAAGGTATAGCATGGAATATATCAATGCAGGACACGGACCCGGAAGGCTCATACTCTAATGCAGCTTCCTGCATTTTGTGGGCAAGGGAAATCCATGTTTTCAATTTCTTCTTGGTTAGAGATAGCTCTGCCAAACGATTCGGCGGTGAACAAGATATGATATGATCGAGAACCTCGTCGGTAGAGAGTTTATGTAAGCTAGGCGATATTTCATGGGCGTAGTTTTCTGATATCAGATCTAAGAAGTAGGAAAGGTTGATACCGGCTTCCACCCAGTCAAGCTGGCGCATACGATCTTTGATATGCGGGGGTAGGTTAAAAGAACCTAAGAACCTGATTTTGTCGCCATTGGCTTCGAGAAGTTTAGCGACTTCAAAAGCAATCATCGCACCAAAGGAATATCCTGCGATTGCATAGGGTCCATGAGGTTGTAGCTCCTTGATATGTCGAAAGTAAGTTGTGAACATTTCGTTGAGATTTTTGAAAAACACTTCACCTTCCTCGAATCCGCGGGCTCGAAGGGCATACAGGGGGCGATCGTTGATATACTTTGCGAGATTCAGGAAAACGAGGACTTCCCCAACACCAGGATGAACAAGCCAAAGTGGACTTTTGTCTCCAGAGGTATGAAGTTTTACGACGGGATTGTATTGCTTCGACTGCTGTATTTGACATATCGCTTCTGCGATGCCGTTGACTGTAGGGTCCGACAACACCGATATCAACGGTATTTCCTGATCCAGACAGAGAATCTTTTGTACTTTGGTTTTCAGAGCGATTAGTTCGATAGAAGATACTCCCATGTCAAGGAGGCTGGTGTCGACTCCGATTTCTGAAATTGGGGTGTGGAACATCTCCGCGAACAATTTAGCAATCAACCTTTGAGATTCACTTGTGGGGCGCCTTAGATGAGTTCGGCGATATCTCTTAATGCTTTCCGCCGCCATTTCGTAATGTGCATCGTATTTGCCAGCGCGATATTCTGCAGCGATTTTTGGCCGCGAGATTTTTCCAAGAGTAGACTTCGGGATCAATCTCATATCAACGGGCACTATTTGATATGGGCTTACCCCGAATAATCTGGCAGTAATTTTTGATATTGCGTCGGATGATGCTGAAAAGCTTTCGGGGCTCCTGTGGTTATGAGCTGGAGAGTACACTACCACGACTCTTTCGGTTGAGGCACCATAGGGACGATGGGAGAAGACCACAGTATATGTAGGGGATAGCCCAGGTAGATTGGCTTCTTCAATAGCATTTTCAAGCTCATGGGGATAGTAGTTAACACCGTTTATTATTATGAGATCTTTCGTTCGCCCGCAGAGGTGAAAATAGCCAGAGTCATCGATAAAGGCAGTATCTCCGGTGATAAACCATCCATCTTTAGAAAAAGTGGCAGACGTCGCGAGTGGATTGTTGAAATACCCCTGAAACACCAATTCCCCTTTGATCTGGAGGGACCCTGGGATGTTGGGTTCGTCAATGACATCACCGTTGTCATCAGCAATTCTTGCCATCATACCTGGAATGCATGGGCCCACGGAAGCAAACTCAAACCCGGCTTGGATATCGTAATTTGGACAAAAGAGGTTGTGCATTGAGCCCGCACAAGTTTCCGTCATCCCAAATCCAGGGCTCACGACATTCTCCCTAGCACCCAAAGCTCTGAAATGTGCCGTAGCACTGAGGCAAGTCTGAACGGTATTTGCTTCCCCCCCTGAAAATATAACTTTCAGGCATGACAAATCCCAACCTGTACGTGATATTGTCAGAGGCTGCATTTTGTCCAGAAAATTTGAAAGTCCTGTCAAGTAAAAGTTTGACCCAAAAGTCACGCTGACTCGAAAGCTGTGGATGAGGTTCAAAAAATACCTGTGGTTGTTCGCAACGTCCCCTTTACCAACGAAAATTTGTCGCGCACCTAGGGCTATCGCATGCAGGTGAATTTGACAAAGTGATGCAACATGATCTAAAGCAACCCAAGCCAGGAAAATATCTCGTTGGTTTGTGCCATGATGAGCTATTTTCCCCGCCATCGCAGCCTTAATTTGGCTGTTCCGCAACACCACCGCCTTTGCGTTTCCAGTGCTGCCCGATGTGAGCATGAGGATCGCCGCATCCTCTGGACCCTTTTTGTGACCCGAGTTTGCCCTTGGAGCAGAGTTGATCCCATTTGGTAGTTGACTTACGAGACATTCTACCATTACGATATTAAGCCCTTCGATATCCAAAAACTCGTGGACCAATCGATCTGATGTGAGAATAAGGGGTTCTTTAAACAACAACTTGAGATGCAAAATAAGTTTTCGTCGCTGAGTCAGGTCGTTCACAAAACCCGGTGACAAAGTGGGCAAGTAGCCAGCTATTATGGTAGACCACAGCCAGATAATATTTTGCTCATGATTATCGAAATGGAGAAACACAATAGTATCCTTAGTGACATGACGGATACCATGAATAAAGCGGGCATTTTCATGAGCTCGATGCGAAAGCTGTCGTGTTGTCACGATTATGGGTGGTATCGTAGAATCTGCATGGTGAAATTCAATGGGTGGATTGCAGTGACGAGCCGACGACTCAAGCATTTCAGTTAGGTTTCTGCACACCATTAACTTCGTGATCATTGCGGATGAGTCCATATTTGTGGATGCTGGTGGTGTTGGAGTTTGGGAATGGCAACCTAACTCCACAATGACAAAGATAGGGGTTTCTGTTCAAGTAAGGGGTTTGTGGATAAGTACCAAACTGATAGTGATGTAAAAGCTCTGTATATGTACACGATAAAAAGTGCGTAAATGCAGTTAGATGTGCCAATCGTGAATTAGAGGAGAAATTAAAACTGAATGAAGATATTTAGGGAAACAGAATCAGATGGAGGAACGAGGGTATAAGGAGGTGGATGAGATGCTTCCGGGAACGAGAAGACGGGGGGATTATATCCCAGGCCAGCTAGCCAGGGGGGAAAGACGGCCACACGTAGTTGCGGTTCCATTGTGTGATCATGAGATGAAAAAAGATATATTAAAGCAATCTGGAATCCCCTTCAGGGCAAAGTGAAGGTATATCGGACCAAATGACAGGGACGTTCAATGTATGAGGTGCACAGCGAGAAAGCTGGGTTGAGAGGTGAAATAAAGTCCACTTAAGTAGACAAGCAAACGACTTAAAAAGTTGAACGCAGATTCAGGGATCCCCGTGCCTCCAATTATGTTATTGATTGGGATATAGCACATTTAATAGGGGATATCTGGAAATAAGTTGGCATGTATTGAACCCGTTAGTTACTAGGATGAGAGAGTCCTGGAGGCAGTACGACTTCGACGGGAGTCGAAAATGAGGGGGAGGGGGTGGAATGGAAGAATTTCTGATAACGGGATCAAAATTAAGTGCGTAGTCAGTGGGCATATCTATTGATTTTATTATTGCAAGACGGAGAAAATAATGAGTGGAGATTTCATGTTAAAAAAAAGGAAATACTCTGTTGAGGCGGAAGAGGATGCTATCGTCCACCAGTTGGGAAAATAAGAGCATTATTGTATGCATCCAGTTCCAGTCAATCCAGCCCTCAGGCCAAAACAATGGATTCTGGTCGCTGCTATGTCGACACTGTGAAATAATTCAATGGGAAACGACCGGATCATCGTATGTCAAGTATACGGGGTGTAGATGATGGGAACAAAGAATAGTTATGTTCATCATCAGCATTAATCGAATATCAATGTCTGTATGTCGGAAGGACTTGGTCACAATCCTGAATTTCTTTGTATGTCGTCGAAACGGTAGATACCTGTTTTATATAGAAAACAGGGATAATTGTGCTAAGAAATCATGATTAGCGTGTGAAAATTATGAGTGAAATTTATAGAAGCGGAGAACATATGAAACCTTTACTTCTGTCTTGAGAGACATATGTGGATATGGAAAATGTCTTCATGTAATAATATCGCCAAGTGCGCATCCATATTGAAGAACTCTTGAAGTACTAAATGGGGAATATGTTGCAGAGAGAATAAACCTAGGAGATTATCGATGATGGCCGGCCGCATTGTATGTGACCCGGCTTGGCTTGTCAGCGGCCTGAATGGACCCTTAGGTTGTGGCCCCAACTTTGAGAAATCACCAAAAAATTTTTAACAGACATTCAAGTAATCGAGTAATCCGTAGGTACTCGACGTTACTCCATACCTCCATTGTACAATCTAATTCTTGAAGATGGGAGAATAAAAATTATAACAAGCAATATAGGACGCTGGCTGGTTTGAGCTGGATGATCTCTGGTGGACGTTGCAAGATGATGGATTCGGGTATGAGCATAAATGCTTATCGGCCAGGGTAAATAGCTGATAAGGAAATCTGGCAAGACAGAGAAGGTTTTGACCTTGTCTGCTACTATTGTCCTCTTGTTTGGTGGTGGTCGAAACTGTTCAAACTTCGGCTCTCATATCGTTTTTCGCTTTCCTGTTATTATCATATCGGATGTTTTGGTGCAAGTGAATACTCTGAGAGATGGGAACGAGCATTATTGGGAGGTTCCCCAAGGGTGAAATGAAGTATACTCGCCGACAACGGCAGTGGCTTGTGTCACTGAAAATGCTCACGAACGGGATATGAAGCTGTTGAAATATGAGAGCTCCGATACGGCAGAGAGCAATTAAACAGACCGCTTCCAACGTCAACCTCTATCCTCTCTTGGCTGAACCTATCACGAGAACAGGTTTCCTTCGTCTTTCAGAGGATGTCTGGTGTTGAGGTAAGGTATTCTCTTGGTTCTGGATCATTGGAAGCCGTACCACGTACAGATTACTGTAGAGGGAGTTACTTATGCCGCCAACCGATTCTGACAGCCGAGTTAGACGGATCATCTGCAACATTGTCTATAGGCATTGGTGGGAGCCTGGAGACATAATATCGAAAATGTTCGCCAATGCGGGAAAATACATTTTGCATTAGACATGGTACCAGCGCAACGTAGCTAGGGTGGGATGGTGGAAGGGAAGCTGGAGTTCAGATAAGTAAGATCCGCAGATAGTGGTAATGCCTAATCCCGTAAAATGTTAACGCACATGAGCACCATCGGCACAGAAGAATGTTGCACTCATGATATTAATTTAAAAGTCTCGGGAGATCAGCACACTGTATTCACACCGCAAATCGTCAAAACTCGTAGGATGGTGCCTTCGTTAAGATACGCTACTAACGTAGTCTCAAGATGTCCATCTTCCAAACCAACTTCATTCTTCTGTTCCGAGAACGGAAGTGAGTAGCATTGCCTGATCAGGTACCTTTTCCCTAGGAAGAAAATCCTCCTAGAGTCAGGGTTGAGAGAAAAGCTATTCAAAATCTTCGATTATATCGAAGTACCCAGGTACGGGGGAGTTATCTACAAATTGTTCCCGAACAGAAAAACAATCCCGCATAAAATTGGAATTCAAAAACCAAAATAAAAACCAAAATAAAGAAATAGGCAAGCCTTATAATCATGGAGAAGAAAAGAGCAGAAGGCTTGACAGATTGCTATGAAGATTGACATGGTCTCTCCTCACGCGGGAATGTTGTTAAGCATTTCGAGCCAGGGTCAGACTTGATAGTAACGAAAAGCACAAGAAGAAAAAAATGAGACCTATACACACAAACCAGACATTGGCTCATTACTTTGGATACTAATTACTTGTACAAAATGCCGACGTTGATTTCTGATCTAGAGGTGATCGTTAAGAATGTGGTTGTTATGACGTTGGTTGGGGTCGGAGGCATGTGGAAGAGATACCACGTGATTTGTTCCTTGGTTTGGGGGAATGTTCGTGAGATAATTTACGCTTACGAGCGCTGGTATTTCTTTCCAACGTATTTGCCACCCCTCTTGGAAAATTGGAAGGGTGGGCATTGACTGCAGCTCACACGCATCGAAATGCATACTTGTTGACTGCGCATGAGTCATGGAGGAATAATACTTTTGAGATCAATGACCAGAGATCAAGTCTCGGAGTATTCTATCCGTTGTAGATGAAAAATAGACGGTAATTCCCCACTCAGATCAAATTCTAAGTACAGTTAGGAGACCCACACCGCTCATATGTTTCATTATACCCGCTCTTGTATCAAAATTGATCAAGAACGATTTTTTGCGAAAATTGTACTGCGTTTCGAATAAACCTTGTTTTGCTGTGGGTGGCAGGTTTTAATTGTTATGCGGTATTTGACAATTAAACGTCAATTTTTTTAGCCGCCTGAATGAATTCTAATATGGCTCTTCGTGCAGTTATTTAGTCAAGTAAGTAAGTACCCAGTCCTCTTACGCGGCTGGGATGGGGCCTCAAACATGGATAACTATGTGGGACAAACTAGAGAGGCATATCACTTGCACCGATATCGACCAAAGGATTTGCCTGGGACGAAATAATTAGCTGACACCGCATCACCGGGAGCGTCCAGGCTGACAGAGGTTAACTAAGTATGACGGACCTTTGTGTGAGAAAATGGTAGAGAAAATGGGACGGGGAAAGGAAAGGGTGACGACGGGACACACATGATAATTAGACTGCTGCATGCAGACCGACCTCCTCCTTGCTTCCGGTTCCAGGAACACCAGAACAAGCGTCCCCAAAAGGAGGCGGCGTTTTATAAAAATCCACTCGGAGTAGTTTGGCTTAAACCACCCAAGAATCAAAATGTCAAAGTTGGCACTTCATCGAGACTGGACAGCAACAACGAGACAGGAAGGTCGTAGGTTCGAATCCTGCAACCACTAAAGATTCTTTACTATCTGGAAATTTGTTTTGATTGGCAAGAATATGTTTAAATAAACTTTAAGGTTTTTCATGGTTTTCCCCAAGAGCGTAACGGCTATACTGGTTGAATGACGTGAGTCAAAGGGGGATGGCATCCCACCCAGATATTGCATGTGCGAATGCTTTAGCTAAGATTCTCTCGCAAGGAATAACGAGCCATGTTGTTGCTAAGAAAACGGTTTGCGGCTTATTAAGTGCCTCGGTATCTGCCCACGCGGCGGATAACTTTGGGCCCTTCGATCTGTATTTGGATGGTTCGATGATGTTCCCGTCCACACTAAACCTTTCGGGGTAATGAAATGTGTGGAAATGCTACAGGAAATTGTGGGGTGCTGGATGCTGTGGAATTGTCCAGATGCCTTAAACATCCCACGTGCCCCCATGAATAACGGGCGTCGATATAACTGGTGGCCCTTCTTGAGGAACAGTGCAATATCGCGAGCAAGGGGGAGAGAGAGTTTTGGATTGCGAAAAATTAACGTTCGGCACCTAACTCGTCAAAACCTGGATCAGACTTTCACTAGTACCGCGAACTGATTCTTGAAGATTGTGCCGAGTAACTCTCAGGTGTGACTGGAACCACCATCCATCCTAACACGGGTTTTCTCGAGGTACGGCATACCTTTGCAGCCACCCGTAGAGGCAATGTTGATATTGCTAAATGACAAGCAAGTTCAGTAACAAGTGCTAATGAGGGTCCAATTATTTAGCGGCGGGATCTGGCAATCTAGTGCATGAAATCTTGGGTGGCTGCAAGAGCTACACTTCATCAAAAGCCCAAACAACATTTAAATAAAAAAAAATATCCATATGTTTATGCTCAGTAAAAGCAGTCAATACTTTCAGAGGAA